GTGTGGCTTACTATCTGTGACACAGGGGGGTGTGGCTTACTAACTATGACAGAGGGGGGTGTGGCTTACTATCTGTGACACAGGGGGGTGTGGCTTACTAACTATGACAGAGGGGGGTGTGGCTTACTATCTGTGACACAGGGGTGTGTGGCTTACTAACTATGACAGAGGGGGTGTGGCTTACTAACTGTGACACCGTGGATTACAAAAACCAGCAAATGGAGCCAAATCAGAGCAGTGACATTCAGGGTCCCAGGGACAGCTTCTTAGGCCCCGACGATGATGTACAGCTGTCTGGTTGTCCTCATGGACGAGAAGACAGCACCTGGGATCTGCTGGATCCAAAAATCCCCAGGCAGCTGGAGCCAGAGCAGCGAGACGCCAGACAGTCAGCGAAATCACAGAGGGCCGGCAGTAACTCTGCCTGCCGGTCAGGCTGATTTATAGAGCAGCTGGTGCGTAAGAGAGAGCACCTCCATGCAGGAGTCAGTCTGCTCCAAAAAGCCAATAAATAAGACACGAGGCACCAACAAACAGTCCCAGGTACTAATTATTACCTTTAATTATCCTGATCTGACTTTTGGCCACTAGAAAGAGCCGTAGCTACCTGAGGTCTCCTTAAATTAAATGGACCTCCATAAAACCACAGCAATCTCTTAAAGCGGCTCTGATTATGGCCCAGGCCGGCTGCAGCTGCCGCCAGGCTGCTGAGAAACAGACATCATTCATCAAGCGGACCGCATTTCCATCACGCATCGCCCTGAATGCCAGCATAAATCACAAGGGCGACTCCCAAAGTCAAGGGGCGAGAAAAGCGAATGGGGTCACCGTGCAGGAGAACAGGAAGCCCCAAGTTAGAGAGACACTGGACAGGAACGTTCAGTGACCATCCCACTTAACATCATGCTGCATCATGCTTTTCATGGGAGGGGAGGCTAGTGAGGCTGACGGGAAAACCTCCTTTCTGAGGACCATATTCATTTCTAAACGAAGGCGAGTGAACCTCCACATAGGAGGTCTGGTAATGGAGGCAGAGCACTGGCAGCACTGGGCAGAGCACTGGCAGCACTGGACAGAGCACTGGCAGCACTGGACAGAGCACTGGCAGCGCACAGAAACCAGCATCTAGCACAACAGCTGGGCTCTGAACACTAAGACTAGAAGTAAATTATTTATGTCGGACAAAGAACCCGACTTTTCTACCTCGGTCATCTGCTATGAGCCGGGGGTGGGGGGTTGGGGGCCCTATCCACTCAGGTTGGCAGGGCCCCCTGGCCTCCATTTAATGCTTGGCAGCACATTATATCATGTGACCCGAAGTGCTGGCATGTTCCACTGCAAAGGAATCCATTACATCTAACTGAGGATGCCGCGGCAAACTGCGCAGGCGGGAGCCCAAGGCGTGCTACTCAGGGGACCCTTACAGTGGCGAATCCAGTGCAGCTGTCCAGTCATATGCGAAGGCGTGCTACTCAGGGGACCCTTACAGTGGCGAATCCAGTGCAGCTGTCCAGTCATATGCTGGAGAGTCATACAAGCTGTCCAATCGTGCGGCAGTTAATGTTACGTGGCCATACCATTGAGGTTATGATGAAAACTTCTATGCAACCATATTCCAACATTCGACATAAGTCATTAAAAATGTAATGGTGGTAACACAGTTATTTTTAGTTGAAGACCTCTGAAGGGCGGGTCCCCTCTGTGTGACCCAAGCGGAGGGAGATGAGGACAGCAGTGTGTGAAATGAGGGTCCGATTAGCTTGAGCGTTAGCCTCCACGCCAGCTGCTGCCTTGCAGAGGGCCCAAGCTAATTTGGGCGTCCAGGTGCCGGTGAGACAACGCTTTGCTGATGAGGAGCCAGCCCATTAATAACGGCAAACGGACGGGCCCCGGGGCCGCACCGGCCCGCTACTTACCCAATTAGCAGCAGTGCCGTGCACACAATAATAAATCCAATTGTGTACTTCAGCGCATTCTTCACTGGCTGTAATGAAAGGAGAAATCACACTTAATGCTTAATTGGATTGTAATAAATTCCCATTCGTCAAGGAGAGTAATTCATATCCTGCCACTGCGAGCGATCCACACCGAGTGCGGCTGGGCTGGCCTCAGCCGGGACCCATCATCGCTCCAGAGACCTCTCACCATGTGCGGGATGGTCCCCGGGACCAAGCGGTCCAAAGAGAGCCAGGGAGCTGAGCCCCGCAACTACAGGGCATATCATGGGAATGAGACGCATGCAGTGTCAACTGCAGCCACTAGGGGCACCACAGAGTCACAGAGCGAAGATAGCTGCATGTCTTTGGACAGACAGACGAGTTCCACACACTCCACAGAACACGCTGATTTCAGCAGGGCTACAATCTACACGAGTGACAGGGAACTACGCCCACGGCGTCGGGGACTCACCAGGCAGGCATCAGCGGTGTCGTCGTCCTTCTCCTCATAGTAGAAATACACAAAGGGAATCCAGAGGAAGACGCAGAACAGGGTGATGGAGTACAGGGCTGGGAGAGGAGGAGGAGGAGGAGAAAATGAGCTGAAAGCACTGGACAGCCACACATGTGCGCCCCCCCCTTTCAGCCAGAAACAGTCAATACTCTAAGCTAGTATTTCCCAAGCTGGTCCTTGGGGGCCCACGGAAGGTCTATGTTTTTGCTCCCGCACAGATCACTGCCAGTCTCCCGACGGACTGGGAGCTGGGAGGGAGCAAAAATGTGGACAGTCTGCGGGCCCCTGAGGGACTGGGAGCTGGTAGGAAGCAAAAACTTGTCTGCGGGTCCCTGAGGATGCAGGAAAAACTGGGGGTCTCCGACATTACTTTTTGAACCAACAGCCCCCCCCCCCCGACCCCGCAGACAGTGTGGGTGTGTTTCGGTCTTAATCACATTCCAGTGGATGTTAGGGAAGGCAGACACCCCCAGGGGCGGCTAGTCAGGACATTGACACCTGAGGAAGAGCCCAGAAACACCGCTGGAGAAAAGGAACAGATTAAACCGGGAGATAAAACTAGTATCTGCAAACTTGTGTGGTCGGCTGGCCCTCAACAGGAAATCTAAGCGAGCACTATTTAAATGAGGCAGAAATACTTGTCAGATTTGTTTACGACACATTTTTGCATCAGCGGGGAAACTTCTCAAGAAAAGGCCTGTATTTTTGTTTTCGGCATTAACTTGGTGCTACCGCGGCCCAGCCGGACACCTGCGAGTGCCAGATAAGTGCCACACTGCCCCCTGGAGGAGATCTCTGGGAACGCACCTACATAGTGACAAGTAATTTTATTAATTCCGTGGAAAGCTATAGTTAAGCCCCAGGAAGAATGCAGCACATTTACACCTATTACATAGCCCGAGTTGGACAAGAAGTGGCTGAATCGTAGCACGAGTTTTGCTCATGCTCTGAGCTTCAAAGGCAGCCGTGATGCAAAAAGGCGTAGAGTCTTTCCCAGAACGCAGGCCGATAGGGGTTCGGCAAACGAGGCCCAGCACCGGTCAGTTACTGCTGTCGCACTGCAATCCGTGGCCTTCAGCATGCGTGAGACACACATTGACTCCGCACAGGCCCCCAACCTGTCCGCTTTCCCCCACACAGACCGTCAGCGGCATCCGGTCCCATTAAGCCCGTGGGGGGAGGGGGCGTCCGGGGTAATGGATGCTGTTGCTAGCACTAAGCCCCCGAAAGAGCCTGCAGGAAATGCACAATGGGGGGGCAGAGGTATAGGCTGTAAGCGAAACATAACTCACTGAGGCAAAAAAACGATTCCGCTTCTATCCAGAAACGCTGCCTTAAGCGCAACAGCCCGAGCGACATCATTCCAGAATATTCAGTAAGTCGCCGCGTCCAGTAGCTACTGACATCTTGCACTGCTCTTCACTGCATGCATCCCAGGAGCCAGTGACCGCTCCCGTCCCGAGGTGGAACATGAGCGCCTCCAACAGGCACGACTGCTCGCAGGACAGGGATGAGGCACTGGGACAGAGGCGGAGTGTCAGCCGACCACGGGGAGCGACATGCTGGGACAGGAGCACTGGGAGCTAGGTGGCGCTATGCTCTGTCACCATCAGCACCGCAGCTTATTTCTCTGTCGTTCCCTGGAGGATGGGCGTGAGACGCATCAGACGCAAATGTGACAAGACATCGATCTGTCACCGGGAACTGCAACCGCCCCCCCGGGGGCCCCGGTTACCGGAGAGACATCGTCTGGACCGACTCTGAGTGATCAATACTGTCAAGGTAAGGAATCAGCAGTACGCTTACAGTGGCATGGGTACAGAGGTTGGGGTAGGCACAGCGGCGTGGGGGCAGGCACAGCGGCGTGGGGGGCAGGCACAGCGGCGTGGGGGGCATGCACAGAGGTAGGGGTGGGCACAGCAGCGTGGGGGCGGGCACAGCAGCGTGGGGGGCGGGGACAGAGGCGGAGGCTGTCTGTCAGAGGCAGTGAGACGGGCAGCTTTCAGGGCTGCTATCCCCCTCCCGTTCAGCAGAGGGAGCCAGCAGATTGTTACCGCCTCTCGTCGAGCAGAGGGAGCACCATACAGGTGGGTAGATCATTACCCCCTCCCATCCATGTGGTCCCTCCATCAGGTTACATGCCCCCACTCTTGAACGCTCACCCTTCAGGACAGCACACGTTTATAAATGCCTCTCATCTCACACAGAAAGTGTCCCTGAAACCTGCCTGTTTCCTTTTTAATCGTTGCCGCCGCAGCATTAATGCGATACGGCAGCGCCTGAGGGGTTCCTGTATTGCCCCACCGCAGGTCAGCTGACAGACGCTACAGCTCACCACTGGATGGTTTCGGCAAAGAGTTACGCTCTGAGATCAGCAGTCAGCCTAGAGAGCGGCAGCTTTAAGGCTCTCACACCCGGCTGTCCCCTCAGGATGTGCATGTGCCATCGACAGGCCACCGGAACGTGCCAGAACACCACAGAGTTTTCCCCTAGCACTGCCCAAAAAAACAAAACAAAAACAAAAACAGTGAATGGCACAGATTTATTGGTGGATCTCACGGGAATCCCACCCCTCTGCTCAGGGCGAATTGGGGGGGGGGGGGGGCTGGTGTCATAGAGCAGCTTTGGCAGACATTTGTCAAGGCCAGTAAACAGGGCTCAGCGGCGAGCAGGACAACGCACTCTCCCACGATGCCGGCGAGAGCCATCCGAGCCACGGCGTCAACGCACTGCTGTGTCATCAGCCACTGCGCTATCAAGTGTGCGTGCGCGTGACCCGCTATAACCGTGCCGGAGTGCCAATCAGCACATCCGAGGCCAGGGCCGTCAGGAAAAGCCCGTGAGCACCGCTCCTTGCACTCTTAACTGTTTACACTCACTAGTGTTAAAAACACCAGCTACAATTACACAAGTGTAACAGGCGGAGATAATAAACAAGATCATTTCTGCACTAACATCTCATAAATCTGAGTCCTATACAAGGAAAATATAAAAATCCACAAATGAACAGTAAATACAGTAATGTAACAAATCCATTAATTTAATTTGCACATTATGAAGAGAAGAGCAACATACTTTAATATTTCCAACATGCATTTATTTATAGGGATTTACGCTTAATTTTTCCATCCAACATCAGAGCTCCGATTTCTGTTAATCAACACGAACACGTATCTTTCCATCGTCTGGAGCCTGTACTGCTTGCTGCTTCACTGCCTGTGCATGAGGCGAGTGCGGACAGATGTGCTGCCGGCGCCACCTG